TGGCCCTGCCCCCATCTATTCTCTGCCTCCCGAGTCCCAGCTGATCAGGAGGGAATGGGGATTTTGCAATATCCTTCCCCTGGAGTGGGGAGGGAATGGAAATTTTGCAGTATCCTTCCCCCAGGAGTGGGGAGGGAATGTGGATTTTGCAATATCCTTCCCCTGGAGTGAGGAGGCAATGGGGATTTTGCAATATCCTTCCCCCAGGAGTGGGGAGGAAATGGGGATTTTGCAATATCCTTCCCCTGGAGCCAGGAGGGAATAGAGATTTTGCAATATCCTTCCCCTGGAGTGGGGAGGGAATGAGTGTTTACAGTATCCTTCCCCTGGCACACCCACCAAGCCACACCCACCAAGCTATGCCCACAGAACTGGTAATAAAATATTTTGAATCCCACCCCCCTAAACTATTTACAGACTTTTCGTAAGACCAAGATATAAGCAGTGCCCTAAGCGGAGAAGCCATCAAGAAAAAAGACATCACAGAAACATCAGTTGGAATGACCGAGAGTAAATTAAAGTGAAATTAAGAAGCTATCTAGAGAAAAGACAAAAGACTAAGTTGGTTTGAATGAGCAAGAGTAAATTAAAATGAAATAAGGTTCTATTTACCTTGCGAAAATCAGTTTTAGTCAACTTCCCGCTAGCTTGCTTGTTATAAGCAAGGAAGGCATCCCTCATGCACATTTCCTGATGCAGGATCCCATCCCTCAGCCTTTCAAGGACTTCATCAACAGTTCTATTCCTGGCTTGTTTGTAGATGTGGTCTTCAATTTGCTTCATTCTAAAACTGGAAGAATGATTAACAGGGGCATCTGCATGGTAAGGCCCAAAGAGTCAGGATGATGGCTGTGATGGTGTGAGTGAAACTCCATCCTTTAAGCGCATTGGAGTAAGAAGACACAACTCTTCCCACAGCTAGATAAGCTTATGGCAATGCTGGGTTTCAGATCCCGGTGTAACCAGTATGGTGCAACGGGGCCCAGAGTGCCCCACATGCACGCGTGGAGCACACGGGCACACACAGGCAGCGCGCACATGCGTCCTTACCTCCACGACGCCTCCGCGATGCTCTAGCTGCTCAGCAGAACGTCGCACAGGCGCCGTATGCTCCGTGTGCGGAATACAGGTAAGGAGCTCGGGCAGGCGGGTGGGCCCTCCGGAGCACCGTATCGGAATGGTACCCGGTGCTCCTGGCAGGCACTGGTATGCCCGTACTGGGGCGTACCACCTGCAACCCACCACTGGCTTACGGGGTGATGTTGGTGTAGTTGTGCTCTCAGTCTCTCTCACAAGGCAGTTTGTGATTAAAATTAAGGAGGGAATTAAGGGAACCCCCAAAGGAAAAGTAATATATGAGTGAACACATCCACTAGGAACCATGATAGATGAAGACATCACATATAGTACTTACCTGTGTTTATAGTTATTTATCAGGCATTCAGAGATATGCCTTTTCTAAATCTCCTTTCAAAAATATCTAAGCCACCAGTCTTAATTTTATCCAGAGTCAATGAATATCCTAAACCAATAAGTGCAAAAGTGATTTTGTTGGGTCAAGCATTATACAATATTAATCTAATATTGAAATACTTATAAGATGTCATAATAATATCTTTTTTCCTTCTGAGTCTGCAGCTGGTTACTTTCTCTGGGCAATGCCTGGAGTTCTGCTATGAAACTGAGAATCCTACTAGTCCACCGCCAGAATTACATTAGGCTTAAAGTCTCCACTGGGTAGAACAGGAGTGTCAAAGTCACATCATGGTGGTGTCACGTAAAGTATCAGGACTACCCCGCCCCTTTTGTAAACCGGGCGTGGCCGTGACCAGCGTGTGATGCACCCGGCATCTTAAAGTTGCCAAGGTTGAGAAATGCTCAGTTAGAAGAATCTGTGGAAGGCAATGTAGATAAATGGTTCATTCATACCTTTAATGCACTGATGGGCATTATGGAGGACAAGGCCACTGCTGGCTGCAAAAGCTCTAGGTTTTCACTTAAAATAAAAGCTATTCTTTATTAATGCTTCTCTCAGAAGACAACAAAAGAACAATCAATCTGAACTGCAGCTCCAAGCTAGAAGGGGGGGGTGTTAAATATGCAAATTAAACAATGACAAAGATACATTTGAGTCAAGCAAGACCGCTAGGGGATCTGCGTGGTTTTCTTAAGCAACAATATTATTGTATTGTGTAGTATTATTGCTTAAGAAATAACTTCTCAACTTCCCAGTCTAGCTTTCTGTGTGGTCTCCCTTCCAACCACTAACCAGATGTGACTCTTGCTTACTTTTCTGAGATCATTTTAGGCCCCTGAGATGCTTTGATTTGCTTAGAGCAGATGAAGGCCATAATTATGACGTGTCTACTTTAGCAGTCCCAGATGGGCTACCTTTCTGATGGGCTACCTTTCTGGAAGATCCATTGGCTTCTTCTCCTCTGCCTGCTGAGTCTCTCGTGGTGAAGAGGTGCTGGTGGTGTCAGCTGTTAATTCTTTTGGCAAGTCGGACACTCCTAAACTGTGCAAGAGCATCTTGTAGAGAACTCCTTCTGTAGTATCATCCTGGTATTTCTGGTACAGCCTGTACATCACCAATTCAAAACGATTATGATCAATGTTTGATAAATAATACATCTCATAAATGTAACCCTCTCTGTCCCTTTATATCAGTGGTGGGTTTCGAAATTTTTCAGAACCTCTTCTGTAGGTGTGGCCTGCTTTGTGGGAGTGGCTTGCCGGCCACGTGACTGGGTGGGA